ATAGTTAGATTGATGTTTATTATGTAAATAAAATTTTGATAGCCTCTGTGTCAAAACTTTTTGAACCGCCCACGTACTTTAACCAAATTTCCGAAAAATCACATGCCTGAAAAATCAATTGCGTAACACAGATGCTCGATCAACACATCACAGAAGAAAATTTTTAAATTCTAAATCTTTGTTTTGTGACAAGTAAATCTATCCCTGAAAATGTCCAAAAAACGTTCTTATTTTCTTGAAACTCCACCCAGAGATTACAGCTTTTTGGGTTTTTATCAATATCGTCGACAGCAGTCCGATTTCACTTTCTCATTTAGAAAGGAGGCCCTTAAGCTCAAGAGTGATCTCAACGAACTAATGAAAGATGATTCAGAGGAAGTTAAGACGGTTGCAAGCCATCTATTACACAATTACAAGGTCAGTAAAATATATATATATTGCTTTCGCCAAACGTGATTATGCGACTAGGAGAGTTCAATGTGCGCCCTGCTCTCTGATGATTGCGTATCCGTCGTATATCACAAGATTCTTTCTTGTGCGCGCAACTACGGTGGACATTTGCGTACTGTTCACCTTATGGCTTGCGTACCCGTTGTGCGTCCGTTGTGGTCAGCCTCAGTCACCTCAGTCATTGTCAGTTTTATTTTTTCATACTGTTCCTTCAAACACTATACTCATCTATCTACTGTGTAAGAATCATCGCGAAAGATATCATGACGTCCGATTATTTTGGAATGAAATAGAATCATCTACTGTCAATTCGAATTTACACTTAGATAAGGTTCTTTACATTGTCATTTCTTTGAGCTCCTATTCCAATTCAGACCTGTACTGACTGCATTCCTGATTAGGTAAGGACTGCTCGAACCGTGATTCATGGAACCAGGAATTTGATCAAGACCGCTATCGAAGAAGTCAACAGAACACTGAAACCCGATGAAAGTTTAGTTTCTAATAATAAATTGGTATGTGCAATGATTATGTTTTTTGTCGCATCTACTGATTAAAATTGTGCATCACCCACGAATTTTAATATCAACAAGCGAAATCGTCTAAGTATTCAAAATCGGTGTTCCTGAGCGTGACTTTTTGCATAGTAAATTCACTTTTTTTTTCAACATCAATGGTTCACCTCTCAAGGATGATGACGACGTGACTCCTAGCCGAAAGAAGCAAAGAACTGATACCGAGTTTCCTCCTTCTACAAGCATACAAACGTCCACCATTTTTAAACCTGATAATGTAAGCACTGAAGAACTTGGGGACGACGAGGAAATCAAATTTGATCTAACAAACATTTCGATGGAATTGAAGTGCGAACCAATGGTTAAAGTATGTCACATGCAAAATACTGATTACTTTATTTCGTATATCTCACAGTTTGCTTCTGTTTTTTTTAGTGGGAAATTGGTTGTATTAATATAACTGATAGATTTCGGTGTTATCAGAAAGACGTTCTCAAGAAGGCGGAAAGAGAGGGTTTAAAATATGAGAATATTCACGAACTCTTGTAAGTATTTTGAAACATGTAGCATTTGACTAGCACAACGATCCTATTAGGGTATATTGATATAGTTGCATTTAGAGCTTTATCGTCAATCATGGTGCTCTGCTGGCCATGTCCATACCCCATGTTCACGAATCAAGAATGGGAAGAGATAATGAAAACTAATCCTTATACCATAAGCGAACCACCACTTCCACCGGAAATTTCGTCTTCTCTTCATGATGCAGTTAATAGATATTTGATTGGTGGAGATGTCTTCATGGAACGTGGAAACACGGAGTTGAATAAGATGGTTGCACTCATGTTTAACAACCTGTAAGTTTACTCATCCTATAATATGTAGTTTATCATCCATGAGTTTGTGGCTTACGTACATAAATTCTTTTAACACATTACAGATATTATGGTATTCCAGAGGTTGCTCCATCGAAGTTGTCCGAGGAAGAGCACTGTGAAATGTTTATTTATCCAATTGCTCGTTCGTTTCGTAAATCCAAAAAAGAATATGAACTTAAATTAAATCGCGCCAACGTTGGCTCAAAGACGAGACCAGACCTTTCTTGTACAGTGAATGGTGTACCAATCCTAAACTCGGAGTTTAAGCCACTGGGTTGTACACCATTACAACGGAAGAAGGATAAGTTGAAAGTTCAGTTAAAAGCCCGCAAATCAATTAATCAACAATTGAAAAGTAAGGGAGGCCCAGGCGAAGCTGTAATGTTTTTAAACATGGGTATGTGTGCTCGCAATAAGGGAGTTTATTATTTATTATAAATTACTGAATTATGCTTCTACAATAACCAGGTGATTCAATGGAATCATTCTTCATGGATCTGAAGTACGATGGGTTATGCCGCTCCTGGTCATTTCTCACAACCAAACTAGTGGTTGACAAGGCTACGATCCCATTAGCGGGGTTCGCAATCAGCCATTTTATAGCTTTGGAGGTAATGTCACCTTTTCTTTGAGCCTATAATGAGACATTCTCTCACAATTTCACTTACTCAGGAACGTGTTGAAAAGATTGCAAAGGACTTCAAATATCGAAGTAGTCAATTCACACCGCCTGCACAGATGTCTTTTGTGCGCAAGCTTCTGGATTCTCCACAAGTAAAGATGTTAATTCATTAGAGTCGATCGATTTACAATAGTAATGTCTGTCTGATTTTGTCATCAATAAAGCAATGACTGTTTATAATAAAGTGATGATTAAATTTTTCATAATCATTATCGGGCACATGATCGACTGGAAAATTAAATCATAGATTACAGATTTCATACCCGAAATAGATCAACTATCCCAGATATAGAACGAACGCATTATCAATCTTGATTGGTTGATTGTTGTAATATACGCAACTTACCGATTATCGACGATTTGCATGTTCCACGAGACTACGACATCTCCGATTTGCGGGTTTAGGCTCGAAGAGCCATTTTTTTGAAATAAACACATGACATCGCTCCCATGTGATTCGCATCGTAATTATTTTTTTCAGACCTCGCTCTAATCAACTATTATAACTGGTGCGAGTGGTAAACCCTTAAATCTTCTTTCAATATGGGCTAAAACCTTTCTAGATAATATCTTCGATGGAGGTACCTCTATCAATACTTTTTCCGCATCTTTTTCAGTACATATACAGTGTGTAACAAAAAAAATTGGCCTCTATACAAACAAAATTTAAAAGCGCGTAGCTTCACAAGTAAATAAACA